ATTTGTACTAATTTTGTACGCAACTGTAGTTGAAGAGTTGCGTGCAACATGTAAATAATAATAATAATTACTCTTTTGTCAGCAAATTATTTCAGCAGAGTGTCTATGAAACGAATGTCATTACATTGGCAACAGAATAATTCAATAAATTTTTAATATTTTTTTAATTATACACTGTTATTTTAATTATACACAAAGTTACTGAAAATATGTAAGCTGATTTTCTAAAATTATACGTGCAGCAAAAAGCACAATATGCATTTTAACTTATTATTAGAAAAAAAATGTATATATCAGTACAAAGATAAACTTCTTTATAAACTTCTATAAATCAAAACAACACTCATGCATGTCTCATATTTCAGTCATTATTTAATTAAAAAATTAGATTTAATTAGAAAAAAATTAATGAATCAGCTTGTATGCATATTAATCTTTGGTTAATTATAGCTAATTATAGCTAAATTAATGTGCTTTAATGTGTTTTAAATTAATGTTTTAAAATTGTATGTACTAAGTTGTTGATTAATTATAAAAACACATCACAATTATAAAATCACAAACTCTATGAGAGATAAATTTTAGTTTATTTGTAGAGATTTTTTAAAGTCTTTTCGTTTCATCAACACTCTGCACAATTACGTCACAGAAGGCACAAAACCACAATGACAACATAAAGCAACAATTTCATTACGAGAAATAAATTAATTAACAAGGCACTGCCACACCGGACCAACAAAGCCGAAACGAATGATAGAAGGAATTCTAAGATGGACAGAGAAAAGATACGCGCAAATGCAGAAAGAGAACCAGCAATCCTTAATTGATGATTTTCCGTAAAGAGAAAAGCTATAAAGAAGATATATATGAAACTGAAACCCTTCCACGTTTAAAAAATGTGAACGAATGCGTAGTTCCAATATACGTATGCGTGATTGAAGAGTGACAGAAGAGAGAGAGAGAGAGAGAGAGAGAGAGAGAGAGAGAGAGAGAGAGAGAAAGAGCGAGTGAGAAAAAGGTAGGCAGAAGGAAGAAGAACGGAAGAACATGTGAAACGTTTTTCTTCGGCAAACAACGTCTTTGTATACTTTAACCCGTGTTGTAAGGAGAAAAACCCACGATTCTCTTGTATATGTACATCAATATCTCGATAGTAGCCGTAAGCCTAACTAGTGAGTCGCGGATTTGCGATAGGACCGACGAAATGAATGTAAATGAGATTCGCCTGATTTAATTGCAAATTGTGCGATGATGTTAATTTACATCTTTTGCGTTTATTTACATTCATAGAATTATTCATGCAAATTCATACAAACGCTATTTTATTATACAAATTTTTATTTACATGTAACTCGTGTATGTTTATCACACGATAATTGATGACATTATCAACCTAACAAATCGTACATATACTGCTCAATATTGTGCAAACAACCAAGATTTTCTTTCATATTATTATGCGCGCAATTATATCCCACATTTACGGAGAATGCGTTTCGTTTCACGCATGATGTGCATGATGTATTATTTTATCTTTAATATTCAGTGAACGATTAGAATGAAATGATATATTACGAGCAACATGCGTGAAATGGAACGCAACTTGAGCTGCATATTTACAACAATTTTGATATATACTTTTATAATTTCATCAAGTCGCGAATTCGAAAGAAACAGATGAAAAAAGAACAAAAGGAATTTGCATGTGTGCCGGAAGCAAATCCGCGACGCATTATTATTTAACATAATGTAGTGAGTTTTCGATGTCTTCGAGTATAATTACAGTTTGTACACGTATACACGCAGTTTTAAGCAACAGAATGTACACACAATACATAAAACACACACACACACACACACACACACACACACACACACACGTGCGCACAAATGACATCACTCATGGATTTACCAGAGACACATCGAGGAGGAAGCGAGGACAATGGAAGGCACAGAACGGAAGAAGTTAACGTTTCGTCGGAGCAGGCGATAATGACAGGCGGAACACAAAGAAATAAAATAAAATAAAATACCGTAAAAGTATAAATTACATGTTGTGGTGTAAGCAGTTCTTCGAATGTCGAGTAGCGACGAATACGTCTGTAAATTCATCAATTCGCTCATTCATCGATTCCTATTTTCATTGTATACCGTTAAACCAGTTTCATTGTAATCCGAGTTACATCGGTACGTCATCGTTGCCGCATCATTTGTAACGATACACGATTATATTGGTTAATAAAAGTTATCTAGACGTAATATGTATTTTTTATTTCTTCCAGTAAAAGATATTTATATATATAAAACCAAATATAATTAATATATATAATTATATATATATATA